CCACGAAGGACACAAACTCATTGTTTTTTATGGCTGCATAGTATTCCATGGTATATATGTGCCACATTTTCCTTGTCCAGTCTATCATCAATGGGCATTTGGGTTGGTTCCAGGTCTTTGCTATTGTAAACAGTGCCGCAATGAACATACATGTGCATGTTTCTTCATAATAGAATAATTTATAATCCTTTGGGTATATACCCAGTAATGGGATTGCTGGGTCAAATGGTATTTCTATTTCTAGGTCCTTGAGGAATCTCCACACTGTCTTCCACAATGGTTGAACTAATCTACACTCCCACCAACAATGTAAACGTGTTCCTATTTCTCCACATCCTCTCCAACATCTGTTGTCTCCAGATTTTTTAATGGTCATCATTCTAACTGGCATGAGATGGTATCGCAATGTGGTTTTGATTTGCATTTCTCTAATGATCAGTGATGATGAGCATTTTTTTTATATGTTTGTTGGCCTCATGTATGTCTTCTTTTGAAAAGTGTCTGTTCATATCCTTTGCCCACTTTTGAATGGGTTTGTTTGTTTTTTCTTGCAATTCTGTTTTAGTCATTTGTAGATTCTGGACATTAGCCCTTTGTCAGGTAGGTCAATTGTGAAAATTTTTCCCCATTCTCCTGGTTGCTGGTTCACGCTAATGATTGTTTCTTTTGCTATGCAGAAGCTTTGGAGTTTAATTAGATCCGATTTGTCTGTTTTGGCTTTTGTTGCCAATGCTTTTGGTGTTTTGGTCATGAAGTCCTTGCCTATGCCTATGTCCTGAATGGTTTTGCCTAGGTTTTCTTCTAGGGTTTTTATGGTGCTGGGTTTTGTTTTGTTTTGTTTTGTTTTGTTTTGTTTTGTTTTGTTTTGCTTTGTTTGGCATTAGGTCTTATGTTTAAGTCTTTAATCTACCTGGAGTTAATTTTATTGTAAGGTGTCAGGAAGAGGTCCAGTTTCTGCTTTCTGCACATGGCTAGCCTGTTTTCCCAACACCATTTATTAAACAGGGAATCCTTTCTCCATTGCTTGTTTTTGTCAGGTTCGTCAAAGACCAGATGGTTGTAGATGTGTGGCTTTGCCTCCAAGGCCTCTGTTCTGTTCCACTGGTCTATATTTCTGTTTTGGTATCAGTACCATGCTGTTTTGATTACTGTAGCCTTGTAGTATAGTATGAAGTCAGGTAGCATGATGGCTCCAGCTTTGTTCTTTTTGCTTAGGATTGTCTTGGCTATGTGGGCTCTCTTTTGGTTCCATATGAAGTTTAAGGTGGTTTTTTCCCAGTTCTGTCAAGAGGGTCATAGGTAGCTTGATGGAGATAGCATTTAATCTTTAAATTACTTTGGGCAGTATAGCCATTTTCAAGATATTCATTCTTCTTAACCATGAGCATGGAATGTTTTTCCATCATTTGTGTCTCTCTTATTTCCTTGAGCAGTGGTTTGTAGCTCTCCTTGATGAGGTCCTTCACATCCTTTATTAGTTGTATTCCTAGGTATTTTATTCTCTCTGTAGCAATTGTGAATGGGAGTTTGCTCTTGATTTGACTCTCTGTTTGTCTGTTATTGGTGTATAGGAATCCTTGTGATTTCTGCACATTGATTTTGTATCCTGAGACTTTGCTGAAGTTGCTTATAAATTTGAGGAGATTTTGGGCTGAGACAATGGGGTCTTCTAAATATACAATCATGTCGTCTGCAAATAGAGACAGTTTGACTTCCTCCTTTCCTAATTGAATATCCTTTATTTCCTTTTCTTGCCTAATTGTTCTGGCTAGAACTTCCAATATTATAGAAATGGTGAGAGAGGGCATCCTTGTCTAGTGCCAGATTTCAAAGGGAATGCTTCCAGTTTTTGCCCATTCAGTATGATATTGGCTGTGGATTTGTGGTAGATAGTTTTATTATTTTGAGATACCTAGTTTATTGAGAGTTTTTAAGCATAAAGGGCTGTTGAATTTTGTTGAAGGCCTTCTCTGCATCTATTGAGATAATCATAGGTGCTTTTTGTCTTTGGTTCTGTTTATGTGATAGATTACGTTTATAGATCTGTGTATGTTGAACCAGCCTTGCATCCCCAGGATGAAGCCAACTTGATCGTGATGGATAATCTTTTCGATGTGGTGTTGGATTCTGTTTGCCAATGTTTTATTGAAGATTTTTTGCATCGTGTTCATCATGGGTATTGGCCTGAAATTTTCTTTTGTCGTTCTGTCTCTGCCAGGTTTTGGGATCAGGATGATGTTGGTCTCATAAAATGAGTTAGGGAGTATTCCCTCTTTTTGTATTGTTTGGAATAGTTTCAGAAGGAATGGTACCAGCTCCTCTTCAACCAACAGAATGAAAAAAACTTTTTGCAAGCTACCCATCTGACAAAGGGCTAATATCCATAACCTACAAAGAACTAAAACAAATTTACAAGAAAAAAACCCATCAAAAAGTGGGTGAAGGATATGAACAGGCACGTTTCAAAAGAAGACATTTATGCGGCCAGCAAACATATGAAAAAAACTCCTCATCACTGGTCATTAGAGAAATGCAAATCAAAACCTCATTGAGATACCATCTCACACTAGTTAGAATGATGATCATTAAAAAATCTGGAGACAATAGACGCTGGAGAGGATGTGGAGAAATAGGAACACTTTTACATTGTTGGTGGGAGTGTAAATTAGTGTAACCATTGTGGAAGACAGTGTGGCAATTCCTCAAGGATCTAGAAATAGAAATACCATTTGACCCAGCAATCACATTACTATGTATATACCCAAAGGATTATGAATCATTCTATTATAAAGACACATGCACATGTATGTTCATTGCAGTGCTGTTTACAATAGCAAAGACTTGGAACCAACGCAAATGCCCATCAAGAATAGACTAGGTAAAGAAAATGTGGCACATATACACCATGGAATACTATGCAGCCATACAAAATGATGAGTTCGTGTCCTTTGTAGGGACATGGATGAATCTGGAAACCATCATTCTCGGCAAACTGACACAAGAACAGAAGACCAAACACCACATGTTCTCACTCATAAGTGGGTGTTGAACAATGGGAACACTTGGACACTGGGAGGGGAACATCACACACTGGGGTCTGTTGGGGGTCTAGGGGAGGGACAGTGGGGGGTGGGGAGGTTGGGGAGGGATAACATTAGGAGAAATACCTAATGTAGGTGAAGGGGGGATGGAGGCAGCAAATCACCATAGCATAGTGTACACCTATGTAACAATCCTCAAGATCTGCACATGTACCCCAGAACTTAAAGTATAATAAAAATAAAAATAAAAATTTAAAAATTTAAAAATTAAAATTAAAAATAAAACGACTGAGATGATACACCTAAGGAAAATTACAGAGTGACACTGCTCCTGAAGGAGTACAAACAGAAAAGCAGAATTTCGGTTTACAAATGGTGACTGTACTGTGAAAGCTCCCAGAATTAGCAGTAAGGAGCACAACTCTCCAGGTTCATTATACTCTGAGCACAGTAAATGTTTCTTCTCTTCTGAATTTCAAGGTAATATGACATTTGCTTAATAAATGAAAATTCAAAGTATAGAAGATGGAGGACCTCAGTAAGTATTTAGGTATTAGAAGACAGGAACAAAGTGGCCATTTTGGAATTAGACTTTTATCAAAAGTTATACAAGTCTATTTTTCATGAGAATTACCAGGGTATTATCTGCAAATGAAAATGCCAGGCCTCCACATCCTCATAACTATCAATTAATTATATTTTCCATTCCTATCTCAACAATTTCAACTTCCTGTTTTGAGCAAACTCATCAGCTTAGACAGATTTATCAGCATCTTGTTTTAAACCCTTCAAAAAACATTATGAATAAAGAAAATCTAAAACATTTTTCAGCTAAGACATCCTCATTCTCAAATAAGAATATTGACTTAATTTAGAGTTTCTACATGGCTTTAAAAAAAAAGTTTTAAATATCGAGTTTTCCGGTCATGCCAAAGGGCTGGTACACAAAGATGTGATTCTTTTTCTTAAAAATCCACTTAATTTGATATCAAATTAGGGAGAAAGATAGTTACTCATCTTGGGCTCTTGTGCCAATAGCCCTTGTATGTATGTACTTATAGTTTTCTCAAGTATGTTCTAAGCACAGAAGTTTCTAAATGGGGCCAAAATGGAATACTGCGTTTTCCTGTCATGGTAAAGGGCTGGTGCTAACTGACCTCTTCCTTCCTTGCAAGGCTAACTATGGCACCCAGCAAAATTACTAGCTGGAGTTACTGGTGCAATGAGCTAATGTGGAAGAATTTGTTTCTCTGTGATACTAACTGGATTGTTCAAGTTTTGAAACTGTGACCCTAGTCCATTAGCACCATGCTTTACTCAACTGAAATAATCAAGCCCCTATTGCTGTGGGGGGAGTTGTAGAGGGTAGGGTTAGGGGGGGATTGAGGGCAATTATATACATCATTAAGATATACAGTGAAAATGTAATTTGTTAATATACTATATTTGAGGTTTGAAAATCACTGATCACAACTATTAAATAGCAGTACACCAGAGTTTTACAATATTTGAACCCCTGCAAATGTAGAGCTTTCTGGTATGATCCAAATTTGAATACAAATGGAAGTTCATTAAGTGTTAGGTTTATCAGTAAACCAGAGGAAATAAACTACATATATTTTATAGATAGTCACCTATGCAAAAAGTGGAGATTAGGTAAAAATTAAGTGAAATTATTCATACCCTTTCAGTTTCATCTTTTTCCTGGGAAAGTCCCAAAACAGGCCTCTGGAAAACCAACTTCATACATGTACAAAATGGCATCTGCTCTCATATAGATATAGCTTTCCCTCAATGGTAGATAAGTCACAGATGTATCTCAAACATTCATTTTCATGCATAAAGATTTTTGAGACATCTATTCCACTGAAATATTTTAAAGGAAATCTACAAACCACTTCTAGGAAAAAGGCACTTCACTGTGAAAGTTGGATTTAGCTACATGAAAGTTGAGAAGACTAGGATAGTCTCAAAATTCAGTTTCATTTTTGTATTTATGAATCTAGAGCAGATGCCAGTTTAGAGAATACAACCGATAACATTACAAACAAACCAAACAGCAATGATAACCATATTCTTGACAAATTTATGACATTTCTCCAAAAACTAGCATAGTTCTAAGTTCAACAGTTAAAAAAAAAAATCACCAACAGTTGCTACTTTAGAGCTCAAGACACTGTTTTCAATAGAATTTCACGTCTGCAGTTTAGTTCTCTTCTTCATGAACTGCTTTTCAGATGAAAAACTTAGGGTGCCAGAGGTGTGTTTGTATTGTGGAAGAACCCAAGGCAGAAAAATAACAGGGAGTAACAAGAGATGTATTTCTCTGGTCAGACAGCCAAGTGGGGAGGCAGTTATTCTAACTTCTCAAATAGAGAATACTGTACTAAACTACTGAGAGTTGGGGAAGTAGCAGGAGCTTCTCTGTGAGACTGAAGATAGCAACAGGAATATTTCTCCTCCAGGGAAGTCAGGACCGGGGTGTCAGTCCAGCTTGAAAGTGACTCTTCTTTAAAAGAATCCTATTACATCACCACACATGGCAATCCCATACAACCCTGAGTCCCATCATCACTGCTGTTGGTGATTTTTCATTCAGTACTGGCATATTTCTCTTACCAGTGTGTAAAAAGCATCTTCAACACTCTGTCTGGTCTTGGCTGAGGTTTCAATGAATGGAATCCCATTACTCTTGGCCAGTTCATGGGCTTGTTTTGTATCAACTGTCCTTGTTGGCAAATCACACTTGTTTCCCACTAGCCCCATAGGTACATCATCCAGGTCTTTTACTTGCTTAATCTGCTCCCTATAGAGGTTAATATCCACAAATGACTCGCTATTATTGATGGCAAATACACAGAAAAAGTCCTCTCCTATCCTCATGTATTGGTCTCTCATGGCACTGTACTCTTCTTGTCCACCTGTATCCAGTATGTCCAACAGACAAGTTTCACCACCTATAACCACCTGTTTTCTGTAAGAATCCTCTATGGTGGGATCATACTCAGCTACAAAGTGGTTCTGGATTAGCTGGATTGTCAGTGTGCTTTTCCCAACATCACCAGTTCCAACCACCACCAGTTTGTACTTAGTCATTTGCACGAGCAAGAACCTCAAGCTCCACTGCCTCTGCTTTGGACAGATTTAGAACCACAGCCGGGAAAAATGTTGGAGACCCTGGAACCTCCATGAACAGCCCACATTGGGGAGAAGCACTTCTGGCACCCTTTAAAACATTCTTAAGAATGAAGGTGGCTTAAAAATATATTGACCAAAAGATATTCTGACGCTATGAAGGCCTCTACTCTCATGGGATATTTTGTATTTAAATATTTAATTTTTATATGTATTTATGAAAAGTTTTTTAATTAAATGTTAAGGTCTATCAGATTCATAAGACAGACAAAGCAATTTAAAAAAAGAGTTTTAATTACTAATTCAGTAATTTATAAGGGCTGTCTCAAATTTTGATTTGTCTTCTCTGCCCTGATTAAGTCTTCTCTTCCAAAGCATCATATTTGTAGTTATCAAATGAAGCAATGGCACCATGCAAACTACACCACCACCTCAGCCCTACTTCTACATATTAAACAAAAAAACATTTTTATGCATCCACATGTACAAAATAATAAATAAACTTTTTTAAGAGATTGCTAACAATACCAGAGCATGGTTACAAAGTCATGAAAATAACTGCTGAAGCTAAAATGCCACATAAACGCAGAATTGCACTGTTTATCTGCCTTGATGGAAATTGTCAACAGCCTAATTGGGACCCTAAAAGCAAAAGAAAGAAACAGAAAGGAGTGCCCCATCAGATGATACTATTAGTAGACACATGGATGACACTTCGTATAATGTAGAAACCACACTAATTCAGAAGATTCAGAAGATTATCAATTGATTGGTATAAGTACATATATGAGTAACTCTGTCCATTTATAGCACTAATTACAAGGCACAAAGAGAAATTATTTGTTCCAGAACCAAAGTGCTAAATGAAACTATTGCAGATTAGTTATTTGAGGTAATAAATGAAGATCTGGGGGGAAAAAAAGAAAAGAAATAGGATGGAAACACTGCAAGGGTTTGTGCACTCATGATTTGGTCGCAATGTCAGGAAGATGTGAAGGCCATACATAACATGAATTTTATCTGAAACCCTGAGATTCAAGTAACACATGTTGTTTATTCATAGACAAGCTCTCATCTGTAAATGTTTGCCTATGGCTCTAAATTGCACATTGAATGATGAAACTAAAATGGTGATTTTAACAAAATACAAGCTCTTAGGGTCCATCTGGTTTCAGTTCCCAGTGAAGCATGAGATCAGAGTATCACTGTTTTTTATATCAAAATATATTGGCATTCAAAAGAAGAGAGCTGTCAAGAATATATGCACCAAAATAAGGACTTTTTGCAAACAAATCTCACCTTACAGATTTGTTGAAGGATAGTCTTAGCTTAAATACAGTAGCTTAACTAGCTAACATTTTTGTGCACCTGCATTTAAATTGAAAATTAAAATTTTTTTGAATTTAAAAATACATAAGATGCACGCACATGTGTGTGCGTGTGTGTGTGCATGCATGTGTGTTTGTGTGAATTACCAATCCTTTATTAGGAAAAAATAAAGTCAAAATGGTTCTCATGTGATGATTAGTGAATTTTATTAGTGAATTGTTAAGATGAGCATGCTGACATCTGTATGTGCTGAAAAAAAAAGCTTTGACTTTATTTTTAAATACAAGCATATTTCACTTTATTGCTCTGATGGAGATATACGTGGAGATGAATGTTGTTTTCATGCCTCCTTAGACAACGTCCATGCTGCCATTCATGGATCAAGGAGTAATTTAGACTTTCAAGTCTTATTATTTAAGAAATCCAATTTGTAAGACTATTGCTGCCATACATAGTGATTCCTCTGATGGATCTGGAATAATAAACTGAAAACTTTCTAGAAAGGATTCACCATTCTAAGTGCCATTAAAAACATTTGTGATTCATGGGAGGAGGTCAAAATATCAACATGAATAGGAATTTCAAAGAAGCTGATTTCAATCCACATGGATGACTTTGAGGGGTTCGAGACTTCAGTGGACGAAGTAACTGCAGATGTAGAGGAAATGGCAAGAGAACTAGAATTAGAAGTGGAGCCTGAGCATTGACTGAATTGCTACAATCTCATGATAAAACTCGATTAGATGAGGAGTTGCTTCTTACAGATGAGCAACAAGAAAGTGGTTGCTTGATATGGACTTGACTTCAGGTGAGGATGATGTGAACATTGTTGAAATGACAAAAAGGATTTAGAATGTTACATAAAGTTAGCTGATAAAGCAGTAGTAGGGTTTGAGAGGATTGACTCCAGTTTTAAAAGAAGTTCTGTTGTGGATTAAATGCTATCAAAGAGCCTCGTGTACTGCAGAGAAATCTATCGAGAAAGGAAGTCAATTGATGTGACAAACTTCATAGTTGTCTTATTTTAAGAAATTGCCACAGTCACCCCAAGCTGTAGCAACCACCAGCAAAGAAATTATGACTCACTGAAGGCTCAGATAATCATTAGCATTTTTTAGCAATGAAGTATTTTCAGTTACGGTATGTACATTTTTTTAGACATAGTGCTATTGTACACTTAACAGACTATAGTGTTCTGTAAACATAACTACCATATGCACTGGGAAATCAAAAAAATTGTGCAGCTTGCCTTATTGCAATATTTGCTTTATTGCAGTGGTCTGGAACCAAATCCACAGTATCTCCAAGGTATGCCTGTACTTGATTAGACAAAATGTAATTGTGTTAAATTGAGCCATATGTAATTGCCATTTTCTAAGTGAAGGATGGCCTCATTTTGGCAGTTCCATATTTCAACCTATCATTTAAAATCTATCACTATAAATGACAAACTTCCACAGGTTTTGAAAGTATCCATTTCAAGTATAAATCTTGTTATCTAAAAGATGTTAGACATAAATTTGTCAAAAGTCATAAAATTATACACTTTAAATGACTGTATTTCTATGTATAAATTATGCCTCAATAAAATAATTCAGATCATAGTAGTGAACTCGTTTCTCATTAAAAATTAAAAATATTTTATTTAGAAGTTTAATATTTGTTCAATATTTAATATATTTTCTAATATCTTATATTTTATCTATCTTATAATCTCATTATAAGTATATACAGAGTTTTATCAGCAAGTCCCATGCTGATGGCCACAAATTCCTTCCAAGTCATCCCAGTATGCTGTACACATTCTATGAATGACAAGAAATGAAAAGGTCAGATGTGGCAGAGATTTCTAGCTGTCTACCAAAATACATTATCCCCTTCATTCATAAGATGTGAATTGAATAGTGGTTCCAGATTATTCATACTCTCCCTGTATTAGAATTACACACATATCTTTGCTGTGTGAGTTTGTAGCATCTCCCAGTAGAACAGGCAGCATATTTTCCCTGCCTATTGATGTTGGTCATGTGATTTGCTTTGGCCACTGGAATTTAAGTGAAAGTGACATGTGCCATTTCTGGGCTGAGTCTCCAGAGGCATCAAGGCATCTCTGCTTATCCTTGTGCACTTCTATTATGAGAAGAACATGTCCCAAAGAGACACAGCCCTTTCAATCTGGGCCCCAGAACAAATGTACATGGAATCAAACCAACAGGCTGGCACCATACCCAACCAACCTGTAGCCTTAATCAGAGCCTTCCAGTTCAGCCTAGATTAGGTCAGCTGAACAATAGCCAATGTGCAAATTTGTGAGAGTGAGAATAAATGTGTGTTGTTTAAAAGCCTGCAGGATTGTAAGTCATTTATTACTCAGCATTAGTGCAATGACAACTGACTTACACACATTCTAATAGAGCTGTTGTTGGATACATGGCTGCCTCACCAGACTACATGTCCCTCACAGTTAGGTGTTGACATGTGACTAACTTCTTACCAATGAAATATAAGTAGAAATGTTTCATGTCACTTTCAGATTTCAGCTAGACCATTAATGTGCCTCTTCTCTCTTCCCATTGGCTAGGACCAAGATATGGAAGTCAACCAGCTTTGATAACCTATAGGATGACAATGCCCTTAGGGATGATAGAACAATGACTTTGAAGATTCTCGTTCCCTGGATGACCACAGACCTAGACTGCTCACCTTAGAACTGAGATGAAAAAAAAATAAGTTTCTATATTCTTTGAGCCACTATATGTTGAATGTCTCTTACACCCATTTATTTTTATCCTTAAGAATGAAGTTAGATAACACTGCCTTCTCTTAAAAGTTTCATGGTATTATTCTTGGAAATTTAACTGAAAGTGTGCTCTTCTAGCAATGACTCCCCTGCCCAGTGATTTTGTGAACTATCCAATATCTTTTTAATGTCACTTCTTTTCTGGCTAATCAGTGGAGTAAGGTTCTGGTGACATAAGAAGCAAACAGAAGACATAAGGAAAGATGGAAGCACTGTGACGGAAGCACTTTAAAGCTTCCTGTCAAGTTCAGCTTTAAAAGATTCTAACACGTGTGATGGCCAAGCTCTTACTGAATTTTTTTTACGTAAGGCTTTCCAGATACCACTGAGCCTCCCTTCCTCATTCTCTCTCTCTCATTCAAGCTAATGTAATCCCTTCAGCTCTTCATTCAACGAACATTTACAGGGTGGCTGCTATGCACCAGACACTGAGGTATAAAGACAAATGAAAGTGTATTGGTCAGAAATTACTAGGTACGCTGCAGTAACAAATAGCCCTGAAATTTCCATAAATCCTAAATAGCCCTGAAATCTCCAAATCCTAAACAACCATTTATTTCTCGAGTATTCTTACACGACGATCACATGTCAGCTTCCATTCAGGAAGCAGGCCAACAGAACAACCTGGAATACTTGCTAGTCATCGTGGCAAAGGGCAAAAGGAAAGAATATGGCAATCCATATGCTGGCTTTTAAAGCTGCTGACTCAAAATGATTCACAGCACTTAAAGAGCCAAAGCAAGTCTCATGGAAAAGCCTGACATGAATGGGGTAGGGAAATAGAGGAGAGCATGTATATTTGCAAACAAGAACACAGTCTGCTGCAAGAGCCCAGCCTGCCCTCTGTGCCTCTGTGCCACCATGCATCTCTTAGATAATTCTCTATCTGCACTCACTATGCTGCATCACACTTCGCTGTGTATGTGTCCATG